AGCATTTTTCTTTTGGGGGAGGAGAGTACTCCTTACTCCCAAGGAGGGGCCAAATAGGTGTATGCCTTCAAATGGTAAACAATGAAGGGGGTTTTTGTATGTGAACTCAGCTGACCAAAATGTATGCCAAAAAATCCTGCCCATGTGGACAGAGAGAAAACTCATCTTGGAGATTTGGTGAAGTGTATCTGTCCTGCTATTCCCGCAGTAGCGCAACACTATAGGTGAAAGGTCTATTTGACGGAGACCTCCATAAGCATGCAGCTAGGATTTTGAGCAATACATTTAGTCTAGGCATTTAGTCTGGCAGACTGTGGTAGATGCAACCATTGCTTACATGGCTGGGCCCACCAAGGAAAAGAAAGGGTCTTACCCTCATTGCTACTGGGTCTCTGAACATGGTATTATCCTCCATGTGGAAGCATTAGAATCTTGTGAAGACAAAAAAGGCAGTGTATACTACAGGATGCACCAGTTTCCAATGGAAACGTTTTTTCAACAGGATACCATTGGGTAAAAAAGTTTTGGTGGCGTACAAATCTTCTCTGGGTGAGGCCAGTTCCCACAAAGGTCAGACTCTACCAGCGAGTGGACTAGGAAGGTGTTGGCTGGTTTAGGGAGTTTAAGGATCCTTATGTTGAATACCTTAGGATGAGTAGGCTTAGGCTGTTTCAATGCTAAGCGAGAGCATACAGCATTATAAGGGTATCCTTTAGCTTGTATGAAATCTCTAACACGTGTGCCATCCAGATATGATGCCTCAGAAAGAGAGAGAGATGCTCCTCAACTGTTACTTCCTCCTCAAGCACTCTGGCTCAAGGACAAAATATAAGATCGGTTCAGGAGCAGAGGTCAAAAGGGACACAGCTGTGACCCCTACTATCAATGGCTTCAATAAGGCCAGAAATCCTGCCCATTTAATCTGACATTGTGGCAAGAAAATATTTGGACGATAGAAAAAAGGAAACTGGTGTGGTTGATGGGCCAGCTGAATAGCCAGAGGAAGGCTGAGAGTCAGAGAGGGGGCAACCCTGAGAAGAAAGGGTACTTGGGCCCTGAATAAATGAACCACCACCCCGAATGTAGCTAAAAACCAAGTCTGAGCTAGCAAATCCATCTGACACTTTCGCCCTGGTCTCATGTTTTGCCATACTTGTGCAAATGTCCCCAGAGGGGTATTCAGAACTTCTGTAGCAGTAGAGAGAGGAGGAATACCTTGGCTCCAAGCAGTTGATGTAACCCAGGTATTGTGAAAACAGCTGTTGCAGTGTGTGCCAAGAGAGATCCAGAAGATGTTGGTGGCCCATAGTCCCATCTGCAAAGAGGAAGGGTGCACAGCTGCAGCAACCTCCCCCCACCCCTCTGAGAATGAGGCGGTGCAAGAGTAGTAAGCGCCGGGTTCGTACTAGCTGCCAGAAAGGGGATGAATGCAGGTGCCTTGTACTCACCACAATCCAGTAGCCAGGATACATAGGGGATTAACCCCATCTTGGTTTTGCCCCCCACAATGGGCTTACCCCTGCTGGGGTCTTCAGAGACAGGGCTCTGCACCAGGCAGACCATGGCCATTAGCCTGTTAAGCACCCCAAAGAAACCTCCATAGTAGCAGGTAAGCTTTTCTTAGTAAAGAGAATAGGTCTACCACCAAAAGACACTGGCAAAAATGGAGAATGAGAAGGGTTATATAGGGGATGTCCCAGCAACTTTGTTTTGGAAGTGTACACTCACCTGGAAGTAGTACCAATATAATCCAGTTGCAATGATTAAAGAAGCCTGCACTGTACAACTAGAAAAATTACTTTCACACTTGTCCATAGACCTTGATTAATTGCTGTTCATGCAGGCACAATAAAAACATCAAGAAAAGTGTTTTTTGTAAGCTTTGTGTATGACCATGAATGTTTCTGCTATGGAGTGAGGAGAAAGGAGCAGAGAGGTGGCACTTCCAACACAAACAAATAGAAAAAAACTCAAGAAAGTGATCGGACAAAGTTCAAACCCATTAAATCTTTTCCCACTAACACCGATTGGCCATGAATGTCTGCAGGTGTAACAGACATAGCTATCTAGACTGGTTGTCAATTATCTATGGCAGACAGTGAGTAAAGCAGACTTTCAGGACTTAGAGGTCTCTTTGTTTATGTGGTATCTCTTATGTCACCAATAACAGCAGGATGAAAAAGTGTGTATGTACTTCCCATATCTCTGTATATTTCCCAACTGCTCTATTTTTTAAATCACAACGCAAAACACACATATGATCAAACTGGCCTTAGAGGGTGTGTTAGTATGGATGACTGTATGTACTTACAAAACAGTACTTAAGCAGCCCATAGATTAGGCAGTTTTCTTTCCTTCCACTACGGAAATAGAAGTGATCGACTTCCCCATCAACACAGTCAGTGCTGATGGGGGAATCCCTACCACAGTGCTATTGTGTTCTGCTGGTGGGGAGCCTTCCCTGCTGGCAGAACACGATGATCACTGCTGAGGGCAGTACAACCAGCCTGCCCATAGATGGATCAAATCTTGGCTTGTCCCTGCTGAAAGCGGAACTTCACCCAAAAGGGGAAGTTCTGCTTTTCTGCTCCCCCCTCTCCCACTTTTCTATACCTAAATTTTTTTTTGGGGGGGGGGGGAGCAGGTACCTGGTTTTGAACATTTGCGTGGAAGCTCCAGTCTGCCCTGTTTCCCCGCAGCCCTATTGGGACACGACACAGGTGCCAGGAGACTACGGGACCACATAGTGCAGTGCGGCTGCACATGCGCAGTGGTTAGTTAAGATGCCGGCACTGGGGTGAAAAACTGGTCCGGGCGAGGACAGTGCTGAGGAAAGATAAGTGTCCTTATAGCAAAAGTCAGCAGCTACAGTATTTTTGACTGCTGACTTAATTTTTTGTGGGGAGACTGAAGCTCCTCTTAAACCGGCCAAGATTCAATCCATCTATGGTTGGCTAAAGCATGCAACAAAGCATTATAAAATAGTGTGCGCGCAAAAATAATCAACCCACTTCTGGTAGGAAGCACACAAACCACAGCAAGCAATCTGTATTCAAGCTGGAAGAGTTCTGAATTTCTCTAATAGCTAATCGCCACACCACAGGAACGGCTTTCTGCCTATGGCTGCCAGGCATCTCTGTCTCCCACTCACTTATTTCTGCCGCCTGTGGTGGAGGAGCGTCAGCCCAAGCACAGGGACATCCCGAGCAGATGTTTGGATCGCTGTCATTTCACTTTGGATTCACGCGCCATTTAAATGACGAGAAAAACACACACAGACAATTATAGACAAGCTGACTCCCCCTCCCTACAACTGCGGGGATGGGATGGACCCAGGTGCTGCACAGAATAGGAACACCATAGAATGAACTAGACTGTGGAAACAAGTTTGCAGGGAGGTATTCCTCTGGATCTGTTCTGATATTACAATGTTGTCCAATCTATAATCCTTTTTTCAGGCAATCCCTATATTATTCTATACTGTATTGCTGGACATCCATTGTGTGCAAGTACCAAGACACACAGTACTGCTTTATATGGATTATTTACACTTGAAGACCAACCCTAATTTAAAAAAAAAAAAAAAAAAAAAAAAAAAAAAAAAAAAAAAAAAAGGAACCTAGCACTAGTAAAAATGAAAGCAGCTCTCAAGGAAATGCCTACCTCCTCTTCGGAGCTGGATGATCCCCAGTATCATCCAACCAGCTTCCTGTGAGCTCAGCAAGAGGTAATGGACGCACCCGAGGATGTGTCATCATGCCAGTTTGGGCTCACAGTTCTGGATGGAATGGTGCTCATAAGAGCTCATCCATCACTAGAAGATAAGGGGAACCCATGGCGTCACAACCAGAAAACTCCAAAATTTCAGGTGCTTTTAATAGGCTTTTTAATGTTGTGTCAAAAGCATGAGACCAAAAAGCTGAAATACAAAGTGGTCTATTAGGAGGAGGTTGGCATTGGCTCTCCTGACCAGGGCCGTAGATAAGGGGGTACCGCCAGTCCTCCTGTACGTTGCCCAGGTCAGCTGGGTGAATCAGATGTGGGAAGGGAGGGTGATCGACACGGCGGGGGAGGGGAATTCCTGGATCGGTTCTATTAATTGCCCCCACTGCACTAATCATCCTTCCTGTGTACCATACATTTCCCCCTGTGTGCCCCCAACCCCACAGCGCTGCCAGCTTCTCTCCTCTCCTTTCTACTAGCAGCTGCAGGCACACAATAGGATCCTTCAGGTTGGAGAGTGGGGGAAGAGTCAGATAAATACCTCACATTTTCCAGACGTTCCTTTGCTGAATTAACACAATGAGTGATTGGTACTGAGCACTCACTGTGTTCATTCATAATTGAAGCATAGTAAACTGTTTTTTTTTGGGGGGAGAGGGGACCCTGTCAGGTTGGCTGTATGTGGCCCCGTGGTTTTTAACAGCAGCTCTGCTCCTGACTACAGAAAATGTGGGAAGCTAGGGTGGGGTGGTCTTCAAGTGTAACATCCCAGATTGGTCCCTGAAGACTGGTTGAAAATGCACCAGGAGCAACATTAATCGATAGATGACAAGAGTTTAACATGAAAGCTTACTTCAGGGCCTCACATTCTGTCAATAGACGGAAACCCTGCCTGTCTACTATTTTTAATAGAGTAAAGTAGATCATGCAAGTAAAATATAACAAAAAAAAAATCACTGTCTAGGAAAGGTTATAAACATTTATATTGTCCTTTAAAAATAAGTGTGGTCTTATGACCTCAAGACAGCAGTTAAGCTGGTCACGCATGTTACAACTTGATTGAACAATCTCCTTTAATTCTACCAGCAATTATGTATTAGGAAAACCTGCCTAAATGGAGAAACTGTATATTGTTAAAGATGGTCTTACTAAATAGTTGTTGGTAAATCTAAAGGAGATTGCACAGTGATTGCACAATCAGATTGTAATATGTGTAGACAACTTGAGGTATGTGGAATTTTACAATGTTGGAAGATATGAGAAGATATGTCCCCTACCCCTTTGCATATAGCCACAGCTTCCTTGGACATAGACTTGGGATAGGCTACATTGTGCTCCATGATGGACTGGAATAGTTCATCTTCATCCTCCCCTTCAAAAGGAGCCTGTAAGAGGAAACAGTGTAGTTACAAGGAGATGTACAATCCACAGGGCAACAGCCGAACACAACCTGCGAAAAGATGACTAGACAGCAGACTTACAGCACAGTGGCTTAGTAGGTAGGATTTCTGGTTGGAATCCCAACTAAATACCATCTACATGGACCACGCATGTCCTACTTGTGCTTGCTTGGGTTTCCTCCGGGTTCTCTGGGTTTCCCTCCACATTCCAAAGACATGATGGTAGGTTAACTAGCTCCTGTCTAAATCGGCCCTAGTATATGTATGTGTGATCTTAGATTGTAAGCTCCCAGGATCAGGGCCCTCCTAACTCTCTTGTATTGAACTGTATCGTTGCTGTATTGTCTCCCATTATATTGTAAAGCGCTGAGCAAACTGTTGGCGCTATATAAATCCTGTATAATAATAATAATAATATATATCCTGTATAATAATAATATATAAATCCTGTATAATAATAATATATAAATCCTGTATAATAATAATATATAAATCCTGTATAATAATAATAATAATAATACATAAATCCTGTATAATAATACATAATCCTGTATAATAATAAATAAAATCCTGTATAATAATAATAATAAATCCTATAAAATATATAAAAAATGTATAATAATAATAATATAAAATCCTGTATAAAATATAATAATATATAATCCTGTATAATAATAATAATAATGTGAGTTAGGGACCTTAGATCCTTGAGGGCAGGGAATGTACAATAAATAAGTAAAGTGCTGCATAAATATTGGCGCTATATAAATTGCCGTAATAAATAAAATGAGATATACTGTACACTACTATGGACACACCTGAAATTATTGCGTTCTAGTTTTCAGTACTGTTAAATCTACATAGGCAGATCAGACAATTGTGCTCTTCTAACCTTGTGGCAATAGTTTGGGGAATGTTCTTTCCTGTTGATCCTACTAGAAATTCATTGCGGTCCTGTGCATTCTGCAGTGTGATCTCAATGTTATCAGTAAATGTGTTAGGACTACAGATCACATCTCCCTTTGTTATGGAGAAGATGTTGAGGTGTTCTGTAGTTCACCATTGGGAACTTGTTCACTTCAGCTTCACAAAAGACTCAGAGCTATTAAAGTGATACTAAAGGCTTTTTTTTTTTTCCGAATCAACAAACATGTGTGTGTAATTGGTTTGCACAGAACAGCCCTGATCCTCCTCTTCTTGGGTCCCTCACCGGTGCTCCTGGCCCCTCCCTCCTGTCAGGAGCCCCCACAGCAAGCTGCTTGCTATGGGGGCACCCGTTGCTCCCTGTTTCCATTCATACAAGAAGCTGCGACTCGGCCCCACTCCCTCTCTCTCTTCTCATTGACTCACTGGCTGTGATTGACAACAGCAGGACCCAATGGCTCCCGCTGCTGTCTCAGCCAATGAGGAGAGGGAGTTCCGGGATAGCCGAGACTCCAGTGCATATCGCTGAATCCAGAGGGGGCTTAGGTGAGTATTAAGGGGGGCTGCCTCACAGAGAATGTTTTTTACCTTTATGCATACAGGTAAAAAACAACCTTGAGTCTTTACAACCACTTTAACTTCCTCAGCAACAAAACTTCAGTAGCAGAAAGACAACTGGACATCTCATCTCTGCACAGAAGGTTTCTACAGGACTCAAATGCCTGCACAATGTGGGACACAACTCATTACAGGGAGGTTACACTAAAGTTATCACTTAAAGCGGAGTTCCACTCACCTGTCAAAAAATAAATGTCAGCAGCTACAAAAAACTGCAGCTGCTGACTTTTAAAAAACAGCCACTTACCTGTTCCTCAGTCCCACGGTGTGCCCCCTGCAGCTCGTTTCACCGGCTGTCCTGGATTCCAGGAGCCCGGCATCTTCAGTGTGGGCACCCGGCTGTGATAGCTTGCGGCTTCACAGCCGGGTACCCACTGCGCATGCGTGAACAGCCTAGGCAATCAGAATGAAAGTGGGAGCGGGTACCTGTCAAATTCGGGTACCCGCGCCCCCCCTGCCCCCCAAAGGTGCCAATCCTTAATGGAGAGTGGGGGAGCAGTCCTTAAAGCGGAACTTCCCCATTTAGGTGGAGCTCTGCTTTAAGCTATAGAGAAGATTTTTTTTTTACTGGCTAAAGCTGAGCTTTAAGGGAACCCATTCTCTTGCAGTGAAAAAGTACAAGTTCGCTTTAACTGCTGATGTTATTCATCATCTGGATACCAATTATATGTGGATACAAATGACTATTAGTCTGTCATTGTATTTCTATACTGTGGTGGCAGTAATGCCTTTCTATCTAATCGCATACTGAAACAATGTATCTGATTGATGTCATTATGTAGGGGATGTTTTAATCATGGCTGAAGGTTATTTAGAATCCCCTAAATATTCTTTTAATTGGCTGGAATATTGCAGGATACAGTTTTATCATGTAATTTCATGGCTATATGGCAATGCTGACATTACATAGGCAGCAACAATTATATTTATATATATATATATATATATATATATATATATATATATATATATATATATGTTATACTTTTAGTCATCGTGAATACTAACAATTTCATTATAACAAGAACCCATGGTGTGCCACCAACCCAAACTTCAGACTTCTATTACTGTTCTAGAAGATAACTGAAAGGTAGGTGAAGCACCTCTTGAGGGGGGACTGTATTTTTTATTTAGCAACCTTTACTGCAGGTTTGTTTTAGGGAGTGCAACAGAACCGACCCCAGACTGCACTTGGGTACTTCCGTTAGACTACCGCTTCCCCCCGTCCGAACACCGACAACAGACATCACAGCCAACCATACAAGACTAGACACCAATCTTGAAGTAATCCAGAAGATAAACTAGTTTATTTCAACACAGATACAAGATATTTATACTCAAGGGATAGCCCCCCTCCCTGCATAATGACACAGGGCGGGGCAATCTACATTTAGTAACAAGAGACACATTCAAACTTCACACCAGCAGACAGTCCCATCAGGAGGCAGGGCTGCTGGAGACACCCCCCCATCCCCCACTAAACTAATACACATAAACACATACATCCCATAATAGTTTGCTCCCAAGCCTGACAAACAATAGAACAATGGGATGCAACCACATGGCATTAAACAATCCACAACCCCCGCCCCACCTATACATGTCTACACAATATTAGGACAGATCACCCTGTACCCCTAACAGGCACAGGGTGACTTACACATAATAGGGATATGGGGAGCTGAGACAGGGGTCTCCCCACCTCTCCAAAGTGAGCTGGGTTCCATAGACCCTCCCCACCCAAAGTGACTCCTGTCACAGGGAGGAACACCCCTAAGACCTTTTTACACCTAAAATATCAACATGGTCCCCTTAGACTGAATACATTTGAACTTCTGCTCTTAGGTAGGACCACTGATTTTACTCAACATGACTTAGCTAGGTATGATTGAATGAGAACAACAAATCTCAGCTTCCCCAAGCTTTCAGTGTTTCAATAAAAGCAAAGCTGTTAATCAACAAGAAATAGCCAAGTCGGCTCTAAAATACAACAGTCAGAAGTATTCAGGTGTAGCTGTATTTAGTGAAAACAAGGCTCTGGCTTTTTTATATAGACCTGACAATCTCAAGGATGACAGCAGTGAAAGTAGATGCATACAAATTGGAGGAAACCAAAGCTGCCTACAGTAATCAATCCAATTTGGATAGTATGTTTCAACCTCCGACTACACCATGACTAGATGGTGTTAACAAGACTAACAGTTTTTCATCAATTTTAACAAAAACAGTAAAAAGTTAACCAAAATAGAGAAATAAAAAGTTGGAATTAAATATATTTACCTGCCCAGCTAACATTTCGTAAAGTAAGATGCCAAAGGCCCACCAGTCCACAGACTTCCCGTATGGCTGGTAAGCAATGATCTAGATCAAGGAAATACAAAATGATTAAGAGATTTATGTCAGCTTCTGAAAAGAACACTAAAAACATCCAAAACATTTTCAGGCCTCTTTGTCCTGTAGGGGTTATGGGGGAGGCAGTCTGACCTGGTGAGTCTAGACCTCCATTTGCCATAATAGATTTCAGCTACTTGAGAAGGATTCGAAGATGTGTCCAGAAATATAACCATTTTCTGGGACTAGCATGGGATCCTCTCTTCACATAGCCTAGAACAGCTCCTGGAAAATCTTCCCCACAGAAATTCTTATAACATGCACCATTATTTCAGTAGGTACTTCTCTATTCAAAGTATCTGTGGCTGGACCATAATGCTTCTCCTCAGACTATTGCAAGCCAAACAACTTAGTGGATAAAACTCACAACTTTTGCCTGCACTTAACATCTTGCCCATTTGGTCATTACCCAAAGCTTCTGACCATAAATCACGATAGATACTCAAGCCTTACCCAAAAAATCAGCGCACAGTTCCCTCCTGGAACTGGAAAAAAATCTACAGGCCTGCAACAAGTGGACCTCATCAACTTACTAACCAGGCACTCCCTCTTTTTAGCCATGCATAGTAATCTGAGATAACCAAACTCCTTCACTAGGCAGGGTCTTCTCCTGCAAGACTAGACCCCAAGATAGACTTTCAAAGAGTCTCTAGGCCTAAGGTTTACAGCTGAGCTTCACACTCAGCAGAGAATCCATATAAAACATAACAGAGAATTTTGAACACAAATTTTATTTTTTTTGCATATGTTAACCCTTTATGACCAGAAATACTTTTTTTTTTCCACCTTCCCACCCACTAGCCAGCTTAAATTCAGTCAAAACAAAAAAGTTTAGTGATATTTTTACAAATGTCCAATGTAATGAGAATGCAGTATGGTTTGTCAGCAGCATAGGCTCAGAGTAATCCTCATCTCTCATAGCAGTCCATTTTCAACAGGGTCCAAGCTGTGTGACCACTTTCATCTCCTTGCTTCTATAGCACTGCCTGTATGGTCAAAACTCATCCTCTTATTGCCTCAGCTATGACTTTTACCAGCTTTTTCCAATTTGTACCAGCCCAGCAAACTCTCTTACCCTCCTCAGCTATGACTGGTGTATTATCTAAGCAACCGGGGAGCTGCAACTGCTGAATGCCAAGGGGTTGTAAAGCATTTACATATGAAAGAGGCTTTCAATCAATTATTTAGCAAACCTTTTTTTTTGGGCATGCCCAACTGTTTCCAGATTTTAAAAAAATGTCCTTGCCGCTTAGCCATGGTAAACCTGAAGTCACATGTCAGTACAAGGTACACATTACCTCTGGAGCAATATAGTCTGGGGTGCCACAAAATGTCTTTGTTGTCACTCCATCCCACATATTCTCTTTACACATCCCAAAGTCTGCAATCTTGATGTGACCCTCCGAGTCCAACATAACATTGTCCAGCTTCAAGTCCCTGAATGGACAGAACATTACACATTAACTCAAAGAAAAGAGTACATTCTTGTCACAGCAGCTAATGGTTGGATGGGGCATCTTTATAAAATATAAAAATGTTGAGGATTTTATGAATTTTATAGCATAGTTATATTGATCAAGCTGGATCCAATGTAAGAATGCAAATACCATACCTGAACGATCCATGTGGAAGCTGCAGATCACCGTAGTCGTCGTCCCTACTACAGTGATAGCAGCAGTCTTCCAGGTCCAGTGTCAAATGGCTACCCTTCTTCATAGTAACCATAGGGGTTTGCTTGCTCCCCACCACTGCCATTCACAGAACAACTGGTATTTTTTTCAATGAATACAAGGCTTTTGCCAGTTTGTCAAGGTCGAGAGGTGGGATTTATAGCAGGGCTTAAAATTTCAAGTTCTGAGCTACTAGCCAGTCCTTAGAGTTACTCGCCACCAACAAACACACACAGAGACATGTACACACACACAGAGACATGTACACACACGCATTGAGACACATAGACACATGTACACACACACATACAGACACAGGCACATACAGACACGCATACACAGATACAAGTACATACACAGAAATACACACGCACAGACACATGTACATACACACACAGACACATGTACGAAAAATACACACAGACACATGTACGTACATACACACAAACACATGTACATACACACAGACACATGTACAATTGTACATGCATACACACAAACACACGTATACCCCCACCCCATAAAAAGTTGCAGTACTTTGTTGTTCACTCACAGATCCGGGTACTGCACTCTAGGGGGAGGCAGAGAGCACAGCACACACTCTCCTTCCTTTGCTTTCACTGCGCTCAGCTTTTGAGCAGTCTGACGGCTCCCAGTGCCAATGACAGATCCGGCCTGAGCTCCGAGCCTGCTCAGCAAGACGGTCCTGGGGGACACACGCGCCCCCACCATAATTTCCACTCGCCATTGGCGAGCGGAAATTTCAAGCTCTGGATTATAGCGTCACAATCTCTGCTTTGTTTAATCAGAGCATGCCTTATATCAATTTGGAAAAAAAAAATACAAGCATTCTGTAAATGTTTGGCAGTGCCAGGCACAAGAGCCCAAAAGGCTGAACCTATCTCTGTGGTTAGGACCACTAATACTGCAGTGATTTGGAGCTTCCACAGGGGTCGCTCAGGTGTGAGATATGTACACTTTCCTTGGTCAAATTTGGGTCAATGCAACTAAGCAAAACTTAATATCTAAACTTAAGCTTTAAAGGGTAAATCCCCCCCACAGGTAACGCCGAACAAAGGTGAGTACTGGTTAAGCTCTCTCCTGGCTGCTTACATCTCTTGCAGACACCAGGAATATGATCTGCCTTTGCTGCCAAAACAGAATGTGAGTGAAATATAAAGATTACATCTGCTTAGATGTATACAGTAGAGTAGGGGTGCTCAACCTGTGAACCGCAGAGCCCCCTAATGTGGCCTGTGACCTCATATTCTGGAAAGGTGGGTCGGCAAGCAAAGATCATTGGTTGCCAACTCACCATCCCAGAGCGTCAGAGTGCATGGAGCCGGCACTGGAATCGAAGAAAGCAAGCAGCCGCAGAGGGAGAAAGAGCTGCATAAGCTGATGCTTCCTCTGTAGTGCCAGCTCCCGTCTCAGGCAAAGTGATACCAAGTGCACTTTTCCTGGGACTTTTCTAGCAGCTAAGTGATGCCAGCAGAAGCTCGAAGAGAAAAAGGTCAGTTTATTAAACTTGGGATATGTCTCTACTACCTTTGCACATCTAGACTTTGTAATATTTGACGCTCTTCTTTGAAGAGCTGCTCAAGTTCAATTAAATTTGATGGTGACCGTATGTGGACTGCAGTCTTCAAGTCATTCCACAGATTTTCAATGGGGTTTAAGTCTCTAACGAGGCCATGGAGGACATCCACCTTTTTCTCCTTCAACCACTGTGGGCTCATTTTTGCTGTGTGCTTTGGGTCATTGTCATGTTGGAAGGTAAATCCTTCTTTCCATTCACAACTTTCTGGCAGAAGGCAGCAGATTTTCCTCAAGAATTTGACAGTATTTTGCCCCATCCATTTTTCCTTCTATCCCGACAAGCGCTCCAGTCCCCGCTGCAGAGAAACCCACCATAACAGGATATTCCCCCCTCCATGCTTTACTTTAGGAATGGTGGTATTTGGATGGAAAGCTGGATTGGATTTCCTCCACACATACTGTTTAGTATTGTGGTCAGATGAGGCTAAAATTCAATGATTTGGCCTCAACACCTTTTTCCATGTGGCTTCAGAATCTTCAAGGTGCGTTTTGGCAAAGCCCAGTCATGACTGCATGTGGCCTTTCTTGAGGAGTAGATTTTTTCTTCAAACCCTCCCATACAAGCCACATTTGTGGAGAATTTGTGATATTGTTGTCACATGCACACAATGTCCACTCTGTCAAAAAAATTTCTGCAACTGCGTCAAAGCTGTAGACCTCTTGGTAGCCTCTCTGACCAGTTTCCTCCTGGGTCTTTCATCCAGTTTGGAGCGATGTCCTGAGGTCTGTGTTGTACCAAATACCTTTCACTTCTTATTAATAGTCTTCACTCTGCTTCTAGGCATCCATACAACCTTTGACAATTTTTTGTATCCATCTCCTGACTTGTGCCTGTCCACAACTTTATCCCGGAGATCTTTTGACAGTGCCTTGCCACCCATAGTTGATTGACTGTTTCAGTTGCATTGCCAGGGACTGAAATGCTCCAGGAAAGCTCCTTTCATGCTGAGCTAATCACAATGACCACAGCTGATCACAGTTGAAAGTCAAATGGCTTTGCGTGTCATTGAGAAAATTGAGAAGGTGATTAGCTACACCTGATTGCGTTTACAAGTCATTTTTAGGAGGGGGGGGGGGTTATCCTCTTTCCAACTCAGTGATTCTGTTTTTGATTTTTTTTTTTTTTTTTTGACATGTTGGTGTTATATCTCTCACATGGATGTTACAAGTTGCACTGAGTAAATACAGCTAGATAAAGCAAAAACTGTGTGTTTTAATTTTAGGCTGCAAGGAAACAAAATGTGATTATTTTAAAAGGGGCGGATCCTTTTCTATACCCACTGTAAATTGCCCCAGCATACAGCACTGCATTGCGGCTATAAGTCACCTAGTCATAGGCAGGGCTTTTGTGGTGTCATAGTTTTGTAGAGCTCCGAAATGTAACATTGTGAATGTGCAGAGGCAAGCGGCCATGTTATACATCCATGAGACTATGTAGGGTGAGTGCAGCCACCTTCAAACAGGAAGTGGACTCCAATGATTTTGGATATTATATCATACTTGAGCATACTGAATAGTGGGTCACATCAATGAGAAATATTAACGCTGAAGAAGGTGAGCAAGACTATTTTAATTTTTAAAATATTTAGTTACAAACTTTAAATTGTTACTAAACCCTCAACAGTAAAATGCAGTAAAGCATGCTGGTTATACTCACTGTGGAACCTAAGGGGTTAATCCTCTGCATTGTGTAAAAAGGATGT